TATATCATATAATAATATGAATCAAAAATCTCAATTTTAGTTGGTGAGTCCCGTAAGGTGATTTTAATAGCTTAGCCTCCACATACACTTATCTGATGAATTGGCTTGTGCTATAAGGTTATTCTGAGTCAAGTCTCATTGTAATTTGATGGATGATACATTTCTACAAACTATGATGGCAGTTAATGGTAGCAATGTCAGTTTATTTCAAATCAAATGAACACTACAATCAATTGTTTTATTAGAGCCTACATGAGTGGATATCTGTATCAATTCTTGCTGTGCATATTCAGGAAAATACAAATATGATGAATTATGTAAGTATTGTCATATGTTAAGATTTAAAACTGGACATTCAATGGAAAAAAGACTTCCTCAACGTCAGATGGCCTTTTTTCCATTAAAGATTATCTTAAGATTAAGTATCAAGACCCAAAAGGTTCTGAAAGGTTGAAATATCGTATAAATTATACTTATCGTCAAGATTTTGAATTAAATGGTAAAATCGGTGATATATTTGATAGTGTTAGATACCAAAAACTATTATCTGATGAATATTTCAAAGATGATAGAGATATTGCATTGACAGGATCCATTGATGGTTACCAGATTTTTTGACAAAAGACGAAAGATTATTAGATAGTTCTTATGATCAACGCTAATATATGTCCTGAAGAACGTGTTAAAAAGAACATTTTCTGATAACAGCAATTATTCTAGAGCTAAAAGAACCAAGTGCTTTAATTCATTTATGTATCCTATAGTCAAAGAACTAAAAAAATTAGTATGTTTGTTAATTTTAGTATTCATTTCCTTTTTTTGTATATAATTAATGTATGTTTTAATATTGCTTTTAGCCAGAATATATTGCTACAATGGATTAAAAAAAGAATATTTTCTATATGCACACATGTTTTATCATGATCAGGCGATACTCCAGGACTAACAAAACTTATGTATCTAACTGACCATAATTTGTATAAAGAATGTCATTTTTGTAATATTCATGGTGTTTACTTAAATCATGTATATTTTTCAACTACATCATTTATGGAAAAAGAACATGAATACCAAAAATATGATCCTGATAATTTATTCTTATGAACCCATAGACAATTTAAGAATCAGATTTTTCAATTAAACCAATCAATTACTGAGAAGGAAAGAAAAAAATTGGTAATAGAATTTGGTAAGTATAATTACAAATATTTTCTGAACTTTATTATATTTATTTAATATATGCCATGTATTTATGATTTTATTAATAGGAATAAAAGGTCATAGTATACTTTTTGATCTTAAAGCGACTTGTTTTCCTAGTTCTTTTCAATTGATTTAATACATCTTATATATGAGAACATAGCGTGTTATATGTTTAAATTGTGAACAGGAAAATTTTTTAATAATGATAGTAGTCAAGTCATTGGTGACTATATTTTCAGTCAGAATGTTTGGAATACAATTAGTAATGAGATGCATTATGCTAGAAAAGCTTTCCAGCCTATCTTGGATGCTTACCTTATAATATTATATTATATTATAAAGGATATAAAGCTGAAGAGTAGGCTGCCTAGATTACTATATATTCATTACCTCTATTAAAAGGTAAAATGCCACAAAAACAATATGAAGGATGAGTGAATTTTGTTAAAACCATACGTCTGTATCAAAAATTATCATTGATACTTAAAGATATTAATGATATTCAGTCTCTATTTTGATCCTTTTATGATTATTATGAAAAG